GGCTGGGGGGGGCTGCGCTTCCGACGGCCCCCTGCGCCCCGCCGCAGAGGGATGAAGGCACCTCGCAGCACTTCAGTGCTAACCCCTGAAACCTAGAAACAGGCTTAGTTCTCCGCTCTTAACCAGAACAGCAACGGAAGGGACGCCGCCGTGCATAAATTTTACAGCCTTCTACAGGGCGAAGGCAAGAAGTAAAGAGAAAGTGACCCGCCCTAGGAGAAAGTGACAGCTCTTTGGCCCTGGGATTTTTTAAATAGGATTTAAGCTTTGTGTGATATTCAAAAGATAAACTTCTGATTCAATAAAGGACATTAAAGGCAGGCGATCAACAGACAAAACCAAAGAAATATCTTTTAAAACCTATCAAAACTGTGTCCCCTTATCACGCATTTAAAAAAAAACCCAAACCCAAAACACTAGCCATTGTGTTCTCTCCCCAGCATAAAACTTACAATACTTAAACTGGTGAGAAATGTTTCATATGAGACAAGGAAATACAGAAAGTTTAGGCAACAAAGGGATGTAGTTTTAAAAAGGAAACAAAAATTACAATTCCTATTAATTTTTCTTGATGCAAACTCCTTAGAAATTTAAGTTTGCTTGCAAAAGCAAACACTCTGAGTTCTGTCAAGCAGTCTTGTTCTAACATTAGTGATTGGTATGCTTTATTTACATTACTTTATAAATTTAACAGCATTGCACAATCAGTTCTTACTAGTTCCCTTTCAAAGTACTTTTTGTGGAAGATGCTGTCTCCACGGCAATATCTGCCAGGTTGCAAACAGCACTTCTGGACAATGCACACATGCTTCCAGGTTCTTCACCATCTAACAGAAAGCTAAAGAAAACAATACATGAAGATTTAGTGCTAATTTAGGTGGTCTAAAATCTCTCTCCTCTCATATTGTATATCCTCAGGCCACCAGCCGCTTACTTCCTCTTTATCTGTCACTGGCAAAGATATGCAGCCAACACGTTCAGATTTGTCTGTATGTAGAATTAAAAGGGATTGAAAAGCAAATAACCAGACAATTAAAAGGCTTACTAGTGACTGACCAATGCAGTAACTTAATAATCTTAATAATCTAATTTTTTGCCCTAATATCAACAGGCATAGATAGACAGCTAAAAGTACATTGCTGCGTAATTGAATAATCTTTAGTAATCCAGGGTTACTGTGCAGATCTGGGAAACCAAAAGAAGAATGCAGCAAACAACTGCAGCAATAATTTGTATTTCCGAGACCAAAAGTGAAACAATTAGATCAGCATCTTGTACATACAGAGAGATGTACATCTCTGCCCCCCATGACACAGCATGCTCATACCCTACCTAGTTTCAAGAGACTTAGCTTAAGGAGAGAAATACCCTTCCTGTTCAAGAGGCTTCAACCAAGTTACACTACCTCGGGGTTAGACAGAGAGAAGAAATGATGATTACATCCACCAAGCTAAGGAAAAACCCACTCCATTTCTGAGATTTTCTTGGGACTTAGGAGGATTCATCTGTTTCTCACTTGCCTAGCATTTACTGGGTAATTTGACAGATGCTTACCATGGTGATTTTGTCACTTAAAAGTCTCTTAAGAATGTGTAAGAGCTCAGATTTCCTTACAGTAAATCCTGCAGAGAGAGGATTTAAGTAACTGATAAACCACCTTCCAGAACGCTGCCAGAAATCAGTGCCCAGAGGAGGACGGTGTCACCGACACCATGCTGGGATTAGGAGGAAAGCAGCTCCGGCGCTGAAGAGGGAGCCCGGGCTGCAGTTGCTCCGTGCTCAGGCAGGAGGGGACCGGGACTGGAACCGGGAGCAGCTCCCCGTGGTGGCTGGGGCCCCCAGCCTCTGAAGCGTGACATTAAGAGGGGATCACCTGCCAGCATGCTCCAAGAAGAGCAACAGCACGAGTCTGTTTGCCCCGCTGCTGGATAAAAGCTGAGTTTTGGATTTTAATTATTATCCGTCATGTTTCCCCCTCCGCCCTGAGAGGCAGATGGAACTGTCTGGGTTGTCCTCTGAACGCCAGCCTGTGTTCCTCTTAAGGGTATGACTACTCCTTTTGGAAATGTATTAAACAACTGTGTTAATCAATCACCACTCAAGACGATCTGGAGTTGGTAAACATTTGCAGTCTATTTACCCTTTTTTTTCCCCCCCATTGCCATGCTTTCTTTCAGACTGCTCCCAGTTTCTGAGACTGCATTCTGAAATAAACCCCACCAAGTCACGGCCAGCACCAAGCACCCAGAGAAGCACGGCAGCTCCCCGACAGCGCGGCCCCAGCTCGCTCAGGTTGCAGACCCGAGGCAATCCTTCCTGGGGAAACCTTCCAGCTCAACCCGAATCGTCCGCTGGTCACAGCAACCAGACAGGAACTTTTAGAAATCCAAATTATAACCAAGAGCTTTAACAGCTTCCCGTTTTCCTTGAGCATCGTATTAAATATTAACACAAAATTTATTTCTTATGTACCGTATTGTAACAGATTCCATTATATTGACAAGATATATGAAAAGCCAGGACCGAGGGAAACGCAAAATACGCCATTCTGCAAGCTTAAGGGAACATACATTAGTGTCTGACAAAACAAGAACGGAAGTAAGAGTTATTACATACCTTCGTTTCACAGAAATCTTGGCTCAGAGCTATATTTTTTTAATGTAGGAAAAAGCATGTAACTATTTTCAGGAACCTACTGTAAAGCTTCATAAATTAGTTATTAACACAATCACCTTGCTTTATTCCTCCGCAGTATCTACTAGAAGAAATGAACAGCTAAAAGCATAATTACTAAGGCCTCTTTAGAGGGACTGCAAGCTGTACAAACCTATTCAGCAATGTATTATAGAAGCATTGATCTCACTGACAGACGGATATTTAATAAAGCTTAAATTGGGGCCCTCTTAAGTTTCCAAAAGGAGTTCAAATCACTTCGTGCACCCTGTCACTAGCCTGAGGTCCTGAGGTTTCTTTCCATGTCATTATCCTTTGTCTCTTCAAGCGCTTTTCTTGTCTTCCCCCCCCACCTCCATGTGAAAGATCAATGCAGAGAAGAAGCTAAGAGACTGCATGCAGTCAGTTAAAAGTGCGTATGAAAAACAGTGGATGTCAATTCTGCTTTAATTTGATGATCCAAATCCTTCCTAACTTTTACATGCCTAATTCATACGCAGTGGGTAAGACACATCCGTAATTACAGGGCTCTTTATAGAACCGTATGCAGCAAAACCAGAGCTTTTAAGCCATTAGTCAAAAAAGATCCCCTATTCACATATTTGCCTTGCTAGGAACTTGCCTTGTTATTTATGAACACAATTCCACCTGTATTTATGTAGTCATCTTTTATTCTTCTTTTTATTTTTTTTAAGAATTTTTGACTTTCGTTTTATTAAAACTTGATTGCAAACTGCCCTATCACATTATATTATTATTCAAGGATCTAAACCGGCTTGAGATAGAGGATTAAAACCTAGCTTCAGCCCCTAGAGTAAATATAAACTGTCGCTGGTCAGCACATTTATCACGGATTTTCCAAGTGTTAAAAGACCACAGGGCCACTTTCCTCTGCCAATCAGCTCAGAACCACCTTCTTCCAGAAATGACCTGGAGATACTGTAAAGCATTAAGTTTTTTCTGGCCTCAAAGACAGACTTGGTGATGACCTTCCTTCCAAAGCTGAATTGGTGCATACTCACAAAAAACCCCTCAGGGATGCTAGTGATCTTAAAAGGCACATAGCTGAAAGAGTTCTTCAGTTCATATGTGGATGCATGTTTTACAAAGAAAAAAAATAATAATACTGAAATACTCTGACAGCAAGGGAAACCTGTACTGTACTCTAGTTGTGCTTTTGCACTGTGCATTGCTAGTTTCTCATGTGGCCTACGGAGGCTCACTTCAGG